AGGAAGTTTCCGTCCTTGTCTCTTTTTAGAGTCAGGACCCATCGACCAGTGACATAATTTCGGATGTTTCCGAGTTTCCGTGTATCGACGAGCTCAAAGACATCATTGTCTAGCCAGCTCTGATATTCTGCTGCTTTCGCTTCATCAAACTGTTTCTTCATCTCACGCTTTTCCTTGGCAGTTGCCTCCTTCCGTTGTGCCTTCTGGGTCAGATTCGCTGAGTTCCTGGGGGAACTTAGGGATAAGGCCTTGTCCTCTTCCGTGAGAAGATCGTACTCTTCACGAATGTCAGATCGGAACCTTTTGGTGGGTTTATACCGTGTTCGGTCTGACCTCACTCTTGATGTTACCTCTCTGATGTCTACGGGTCCGCCATGCATGTACCGAGGCATGGAGAAAGAACCTGTGTTACTGCACAGTTTCTGTTCTTCTGTGAGAAGGACCCAGTCCTTCTCATCTACGACCAAGTCACCTTCCTCATCAGAGTAATACCTTGTGTTTTCTGACTCGGCATCGCTCTCCGGTTCTGGTGAACCAGAAGTGTGAGGAGGAGCGGACGGTTGTCCGGGGTCGTCTGGGACCAGTTCTTCTTCAGTGTCTTCTTCATCTTGTTGTAACGGAAGAATGGGTCCCTGTGGATGTGCCTTCGGTTTAGGTTTTGGTGTCGGCACCTGTGAAGGTGATTTCTGTTTGTGCGGCGAAACTTTCCTTTCCGATGAAGACCTTGGCGACACATCACCCCCCAGACGCCGAGGAGACGGAACACGAGGAGGCGGATGCACGCGAGGCTTAGCCCGAGCAGGAGCCACGGGCTCATCGGAGGAAACGGCCGGTAGTCGCGGTGGAGGTATGGGAGGAGGAGGACGCGACGGCGGCGTGCCGGGAGGCATCGGCTGATCTGGTTCCGGCATAGAGACATCGTCAGATGTGATCCGTGAGCGATTAGTGCTCATTGGTTCTGACGGGTCTGACGGCGAAACCTCTTCGTCCGACATGATTACATCCGGCGGTGTTCGCACGGACGGTGAAGTCTTGCCGCCTGTCATCTGGAATAGCACCCCCGAGAAGGTTGATGGGTGTACCTTGTTCCAGGAAACCTGGTGCGGCAAGCAACACGTCATAGTCGAATTGGGCTTCTTCTTGTTCCAAAAGACAAGAACGCCATCAGTTACACTGGTGAGTGCTTTGACTGTTCCAAATGTACCTCTGTATAGAGTACACTGTTCGAAACCAGACCCTGGTAAGAGTCTTGATCTAAGGCGAGTAATGTCTGACACCAAGGCATCAAGGGACGGTGATGGTTTGGAATGATGCAATGGTAATTCAGTTTTACTCGATAAGGAATTTACTCTAGCAACAAGTGATCTGATTTTCGGATCTTGCAGGAGTTTTGAATCCTTGAGAGGATTTGTTGTCAAAAGTGAATACTCCTGATCAAGAAGTTCCGAAAGTCCCTGGAGGCATTCATCTCCAGAGTATTCTAGTATGTCTGTGACCAAAGACAGATGAGATGCATACGCATCTCGCTTCAGGAATCTTGCCAAACACGAGGCAAAGGTCTCACAGAATTCATAAGGATACACTTGTGCGAGTTTCGTTTTAAGACCGTAGCCTTGAATACCCTTTTCGTCTCCTGGTGGAGATGTTGGAGATTTCGTTTTGGCAGAATGCCTCTGGAGAGGAATTAAAACTTGCGGTGGCAAGTTGTGCATAAAAATCGAGGATTTCGATTCATAGTATCCTGTTGGATCTTTCATGCCATAGGCCTGTAGGTTACAGACCTCATAGCTGATCTTATGATTAGAAAACAGGCGTTTTGCTTCTGGTGAAGACCAGAGCCTGCTGTAGTATGGGTTCTCAAGAACAAAGTAACGTCCGAGCTTCATTTGGTGGTCTGCGACCGATTCACAGAATTTTAAAACAGAAAGTCTCTTGGCAGAGCCTTTCTTCCACTGTGAGTACCAGCTAGACCACTGAGAATGGTCCGGTGACATAACAATAATAGTAGGTTCTTGTTCCTTGATGATCCTAAGAAGATTGGAGCGACCTTGCGGTTGCTCAAGATCTAGACCGCTACGCAAATCGACTGGCTGACCTACTCGCAGACCTGACAGGGCAGCTTTGTGACTCATGCGGGGAGATCCGCCGTAGAGTTCTAGGAAGTCAATCTTCCCAGTGCTGGTGACCTGCCAGTGACACTCTTGATGTGGAACCGTTAGGTCTGTCGACTGCAGGGAAGCATCGAAGGTGACCATGCAACTTGCGTGGTCAGAACCTTCTGACGTCAGAGTTTCCTCATCAGGCGCGAGAGGAATCTCCACATCAGATGTTATGTCATAATTTTTCCTCAGTTTTGAGATATTAACGCGGACGATGCGTGTTCCAAGATCCACACCTACCATGGATCCTCCGAGTTCGGAGATCACCTTTCCTTTTAGCCAAGATCCATGTTTGGACCCAGTGGATCCAATCTTAGACTTATCTTCTGACCAGTAGAAAACCTTATCTCCCAAAGAGAAAGGTCCTTGGGTCATTGACAGTCTGGCTGCAAGATCTCTACGCAGATCATCAGATTGGCGTGCCTCTTGGTAAGCCCTGTTGGCAAGCTCCTTAATGGCTCTCGCAGTGACTTCCGTATCAGTTGGATTACCTGTCAACTGATTGGGATCAGCGTTCTCTGGTGTTATAACATCTCGAGGACGCCTTCCAAAGGCCATTTCTAAAGGAGTAACTCCTCCGTAGGTAATCGAAGAGTTTCTTGCCAAACATGCTTGGCGAACGAGGTTGCCATACTTCATGGTGATTCCGTTATACTGCGGGTCACCATCCTTCAGGATCTGAAGTATGAGCTTAATCTGATGCTTCAGCAATCTTACAGCAGCTTCGGCCCTGTTGGGCCATGGTGTTCCAGGTCCTGTTGCCACAGGCTTGATATTCTGCCGATTGTAATAAGCCTCCATTTTTGGAGTCATGAATGCTTGATCTCCAACTACAACCTTTGGGTTGATCTGAAATTTCTCAAAGTAGTCATTCATAATCGACATTGTAGTATGTTCTTCTTTATCCTGGACTACTTCGGCAGTCAACAAGTTTGTTGCTCCATCATAGAGAATAAGAAATACTAAGCGACTATCCTTGCCGGGAATTGGAAGCTCACCGTGATCTACGAAGGTGAGATCACCGAAAGTCTCTGATCTTAAACCAGAAATCTTCGCTCTTGAAGGAGCTCTCACATGTTCCTGGCAGGCTGAACACTTTTTGACCAGTTGGTCATATAGCTCGTATATCTCCTTTGGGATCTGTAAGGCTTTTGTGCGTCGCTTGAACTGATCCGTACTCATATGACGGTGCTTAAGGTGAAGCTTATAGAGTTCTACAGGGTCCTTAAGCTTCTCATGAATCCTGCGAAGAGCAATGGGAAGAGATGGCGATGGTTCCGCGACAATCTCTTCACCTGTAGGTGAGTCTGTACCAGGAGCCGGGTATTCTCTTGACTCAAGTGGTCTTACCTCCGTCCCGTCATCAGCTCCTGGGACCTTAGACTTCTCTTCAACAGGAGATTTAACCGCATATTTGCGGGATTTCTTCAGAAGGTTTTTAAGACCCTTTGGAGTCTTTATCTTCGCAGGTGGGACCTCAAGTCTTTCTTCTTCTGGAGGTTCATGTGGTGCAGAGGATTCTGCAGGTTTGTCCCTAGAGCCTGATGATGGTTCCGATGGTCCGGAAGGCTCAGGAGCATCACCAGATGGTTCTGGTGGATCAAGTTTCTTGGCAGATGATTCTGCCGGATCAGATGGAAGAGGCTTCTTTTTACCTGAAATCCTCTTCGATGGTGGATCAGCTGCTCTTTCAGGTGCTTTGTCGCAAACCTTGAGGTATGTGTGAGCCCTTTTCTGTCCGGCACAGGCTGGACAGCGACCTTCCGGTATCCTTGTATAAGGCTTCTTGGCTCCTAGAGCAGTCTCCGTCGCACTGAACGACGTACCTGACTTAGGGAGATACTTCCTGGTGGAAGTGAAGCCTAGAAGGTCCAATACCAAATGGTTATTGGTACTAATCGGAAGGGGGTTTTGTACAAACCGAAAGCTTCACACGTTGCTAGGTCAGCTGTGGGACTACACTCGAGGGTCATTCTTAGATTCCTCATCTGTTCGATGGAGAACAAAATGGGAACTCTCCCCTGATCCAGAACCTCGATGGTTGTATCTCTTCTTGGAGTTGTGTTGAACCATAGAGTTACACGCTCCTTGATAAGAGCTGTTTCACTATCTGCGAAAGAGAACTTCGTGTTCGAAGGTGAAAAAGTGAAATCAATCATGCCTGGGGCACGTTGCTTCACGGCCTTGATAAGCCTGTTCACCGCATAGCGGGAACCCATAGCCCTAGTACAACCAGAGTCAAGTATGACAAAGGTAGGGCTCTTATCAAGATTGATCCGCTCTGTGAGAGCAGATAGGACGGTGTGCTGCAACGGAAACACTGCTGTTGCAGTTTCAACACCTTGCCCCTCGGATGGTTCAAAGACCTGGGGCACGTAACTCACTGATGAGTTGAACACGGGTTCTTGGTGCGCGCTCGGATCTGTGCCTCTACCTGATGATCCTGCTTGATTTCTTCTCTTCTTTCTCCGTGTTTTTCTTCGTGAGGCTTGTGATGCATAGTATGTATAAGACGTTTGATCGTCATAAGCGGCATAATTCCAACTGGAGTCAGTATAATAACTGTACTCATACCATGAATCCCAGCTCGGTGCGGTGGAACTCTCATAGGCCTGTGGAGATCCAGTTTGGTCTCCTTGTAAGGAGGCAGACTTAGCTGTATCCTTACCTTTGACTTTTGCCTTTGCGCCTTTGAAGGAGCTTCCTTTATCTCCTTTGTCCTTTCCTTTTCCTTTGCCTTTTCCACCTTTTCCTTTTTCCTTTCCTTTACCTTTACCGAAAGAGCTGGAATCAGTTGGATCATGTTCTGCCTGGTTGGCTCTCCCTTTTCCGCGGTATGACCTAAAACGGCCACGTCCTTTTCGCTTGCCACCCTTTGCTCTTCCCGGTGATCCGGGACGCATTCTTGGTCTTCTTCCCTTTTTGAATCTCCTTGCAACGGAGGCCTCATGGTCATCAACTGTCCAGAAGACAGCTTCTTCATCCTCGGCGGCAAGAAAGCCTTCCTCAAGGGTGTCTTCGTCTTGGAGCCAGAATCCATCGACTCCGTCGTATTCACACTGATCGAGGATGAGGAAGTTTCGACCTCCGCGTTTGCGGCGTTGGTCTCTCCTTCCATGGCGGTCCTTCTTGTGAGAAGAGTGCCGAATGTTGGGATCCTGCAGACCAGTTCTGGTCGTTGAAAACTGATCGAACATGGTCTGCCGTACCACAGGGTACGTATAGGTCTCAATTCGGTGACCTTGGTTGGTCAATGCTGTTACCAACCTCTCACGTTGCATCTCATTGAGGTCGGACTGCACTAGGAAGAGAAGAGCTAGGAGATTATCATTCAGAGGAAACGCTCTTCGATGATTGTCAAGGCGTTCCTTGTTCCATGTTTCGAAATAGCGTGCGGCGTATGTGTCTCTCTCGGCTGCTTCCTGTAGGCCCAGGAAGGTTCGGTCTGCCTGCACAGCTTGCATGAAATCTGGATGGGCATCTTCCAGAGCTATCTCTGGTAAGAGATCCATCCATGAGTTTTTTTTTTTTTTTTTCACGATCTCAAACTTAGCAATCCAAGTCACAAAGTCTTGGTTGCCCTTCCATGCCTTGAATAGGCCGAGGAAA